TCCGCTGAGTTGGGGGGGAAGGGCGGGGAGGAGGGACTGTAAGCAGCTGCGTGGTTCTTGGCTGCTGGCTGAGGTTAAATCACGACACAGCCACAGCATAATTCTTGCAGTCAACTGCTAGTGAAAACTGTGCGTATACTCTGTGAAAATGTAAGTTACATAAGTTATCAAAAAGTTCCATTTTATTCTGGAATATACAAATATTGCACCAGAACTGGTTTGAGAGGTTGATGAGTTTCTGGCCTCATTCTGACACCAGCACAGCACCCCTGAGAGAAGCAGCTTGCTGCAGTTTGCTCACTCCTTCCAAGACTCACCGTTAACACTCCGTGCCACAGGCCAGCGTCTCTTTTGAAATCCAAGACATTTGTTAGCGTTTCAGCTGAAAGTGAAGGAAAAACCCATCAGATTCCAAAAGCACATTTATAAGAGTCCTTAAGAACTCAAAAATATTTGTTAAAGCAACCCTGAAACTTCAACCATTGCTCAGAAACCAAAGCTCTGTGCCATGCCTGTTTGTCTCTAACAAATAGGCTGCTTAACCTTTGAGTGTCTTGTTCTACTTAGAGAAATCATCTTTAAATTACAATTACAGACTATTACAAGGGATTTAGGACCTTGATTCATTAGGGTTCCCTCCCAGGTTCACCCTCCCATGTGTTTGTAACATTTAGCAATGAACTATGCAGACCAAGTATTTTTGAAGCAAGCTTTTTCAGCTGAACTGAAAAATTTCACCCAGACTTGAAGGAAATAAACCCGGTGAGAAATATGATGACAGCTGTACGACATTTTCTGCAATATTTTCCCTGAGAAATCTGAGAATCTTAAGTGATTAAAAAAAATAAGAATCAAAGATTTTAAATCAGAGATTCAACCTGATTTCTGAGGGATCTCTTGCACTGATTAGGTGAACCTTGCTGATCACTAATGCAGGATGGATGCATGCAGACAAGGTTTTGGTTAATGGTACAAAGATTAACTCAATGCAGATGGTCAAAATCAAGAGCAGTTCCTGGATGTCCAATGGGAGAATGAGAACAGATCTCTCACTATGTTCACATGCCTATGGAGATGTTCTTCTGTGGGACATGATTAATTAACAGGAAGATCCCTTCCTTGATTGATTTCACAAGTGGCTTCTTAACTCTCCTTCACACATAACACACATTATGAATGAGGAAGTTTGTCTTTCAGCTTCCAGATAAAGCTGGGCTCAAACTGAAGGAGGGAAAGACCAGGTTGGATGTGAGAAAAGAGTTTCTTCCTGTGGAAGTGGTGAGACACTGGCACAGGTTGCCCAGGGATGTGGTGGCTGCCCCGACCCTGGCAGTGTTCAAGGCCAGGCTGGATGAGCCTTGAGCAACCTGATCTAGTGAGGAGGTGTCCCTGCCCAGGGCAGGGGGTTGGGACTAGATGATCTGTAAGGTCCATTCCAACCTCTGAATTCTATGATTCTGTGATGATTCTACCATTGTGTATCTAAGGCAGTAAATGTGATTTTGCAACAAAATGTTTCTGGAAGTTACACCTGTCTAACTTACCTTCGGAATAACCACATGCCTGAGTCAGTGCGTGACAGTGTGCGAGCATGGAAGCATGAGATACAGTAATGCCCACGGTGCTGCCTTCTTTGCTTGTTTTGTACTGAGAAGAGAAAGTGCACACAAGCATTAGACTAACAACAGAATCAAGAAAATTTACAGCAGTGAATCAAAAGGATGTTTTACTATATAAACAATGACAGCTTTCTCTAAAAAGTAAAAACCTGGCATAAGAAGTACACTTATGTTCAAAGAATACACTCATACCATATGAAATCTGACTGTTTCTCTACTCTAATTAAACCAATTGTCTCAGGGATCCCAAAATGCTAATGATCCCCAATCTTCAACCTGATTCCACATAGCCACTGGAATGCCAGCTTGCCTGTCAGCCTGGAGGGAAATGCTATTGTTTCACACTTAAAAATATTATAGTCATCTCTTTTACTACATCAAGAGATTAAAGAAAGAAAACGTGACATAAACTACAGTAGAGTAACCACAAAAGTTAGGCACATTACGCTGGCTCACCTCGATGTAAGCAATCTCAGTGCTGGCATCCCGCACTTGTGGATGCCAGTCCTTGGCTGGTTTTGCCAGATGCTTCCCATCGATAACAAACCAAATGAGACGAGGCCAACCTTCAAAGAAAACAAAAAGTTACTGTCACCACAACTCCAAAAATCAGTTTTCCATCCCCAGCATTCAGGGATAATGACAGGAGGCAAACACAGGCTGGAACATGCCCTGCCTGAGAGGAGGAAGCAGCATAAAGCACTGCCATGGAATCGTAGAATCGACCAGGTTGGAAAAGACCTCCAAGATCATCAAGTCCAACCCTACCATGGTTACTAGACCATGGCACTAAGTGCCACATCCAGTCTCATCCTCAAAACCTCCAGGGATGGTGAATCCACCTGGCAGCCTGGGCAGCCGATTCTCCGTAAAAAATCTCTTCCTAATATATAACCTAAACCTCCCCTGGCAGAGCTTGAGTCTGTGCCCTCTTGTCCTCCTGTTGGTTGCCTGGGAGACCAACCCCCACCTGACTCCAACCTCCTGTCAGGGAGTTGGAGAGGGTGATAAGGTCTCCCCTGAGCCTCCTCTT